TGACCTCAAGTGCACAAATGAATGCACAGCCTCGTGAGGTGGGCAGTGCCATCTTTATTTTAGAGGTGGGCAAAAAAAGGATCCCCTGTGTTAGCATCCTGTTGATTTATCAGGCAGTCACTCAAAAATGATTTCTTTAGTAACATCTATGTACCAGCTGCAAAGGATAACTCATGAGCAAAGCAGACCAAGCCCCTCCCTTCCTGCATGGTATTAACCCTGTCCTGTGGGGAAGTGGTCAGCGAGCAAGTCAACTGGGCAGGTGGTGCTGCGGGTGGGGAGAGGCAGGAGAAGATGGCCAGGGCTCATGCGGGGGACAGGCTGCTGTACAGGAACCGGGGTCTGCAAAGGCTTTTCCGACAAGGTGTTGGTGACCAGAGATGGAAGGAAGGGAGGGGTAAACCATGTGGTTTCTAGGCAGAGACCACCAAGTGCCAAAGTCCTCTGCCAGCGGGACTGGACTTGTTCAAGGGAGAAGAAGCCAGTGTGGCTGGAGTAGAGGTGGGTGAGGTCAGAGAGGAGGCAGGGGCCAGCAGATGTAAACTGGAGGGTCTTAGAGGGGGTGACGTGGGCGGGCATTGTGATGGGCCACTCCTGCTGCTGTCGAGAGGACACTGCAGAACATGACAGTGCCAACCTAGGGTGCTGGTGTAGTGAGTCAAGTGGATGGGGCTTGGATCAAGGTGGTGGCATGGGAGATGAGTGGGTTCTGGATATATTTTAAAGGTGACTAATTGAGGTTATTAATAGTTGAGCTGAGGGTTGTAAGCTAATGCAATACATCAAAGATACCTAAAAGATTATGGCCTGAGCAACAGGAAGGAATGGAAATTGTCACTTGTGAAAATGGGGATGAGCCAGCTGGGGGAAGCGGGAATCAGGAGTTTCATTCTGCATAAGGTAAGTTTCAGAGGCGGAGCTGGGTTCATAAGGAGGGAGTCCAGGAGAGTGATGGCTGGATCCCTTAGCTTTTACAAGGTTTTAAGGCCAAGAGAGGGAATGCGTCCACCTGGTGCTAGGGAAGAGAATCTGAGGACTGAGTCCTGGGGTGTTCTTGTCTGGATGACGCCTGGAGGATGAGGAAGAAACAGTAAAGAGACACCAGAAGGCATGAAACCAAAGACACAGACGGGAGTGGTCCCCTGTGAGCCAACCAGAAAATGTGTTTCCAGGAAGCTGATCTACGATGTCCAGTGATGCTGAGAGACTGAGGAGAATTGCTAACTGAGAATTTGGCTTCCCGACAGGGCTCAGTGATGTTGCCACCAAGAGCAGCTCTAGTGGAGTGGGTGGTGGAGTGGAGTGGGTGGTGGGGTCAACATTCTAACTGGAGTGGGTTCAGGAAGGATGAGGAGGAGAGGTGGAGGGGAGGTGGACATAGGAAATACTGTAGAAGCTGTAGGGGGATGTACGGGTAGAAATATATAGTATAGAAGCTGTTTTTATTTTTGCTTTGCTTTATTTTCAGTGGGAGCTATTATAGGATGTTGGCATGCTGATGTAGACAGTGAAAGATTTATGGTGCAGGAAACTGGGGCTGTCAGGAGAGATGGTCCTTTTGTAGGGGAGAAGCACTGGGCTCCACTTCTAGGTGACAGCAGTGATGGTGGGTACAGGGATGACAGGGGAAGATCAAGGAAACTCTCTTCTTATCGCTTCCTTTTAGTCTAACATAGGAGCCAGATCATCAGCGGAGAGTACAGGGATGGGGGATGAAGATTTAAAGAGAGGAGAAAATGTGGGATAAGCACCGAGGAGAAGGAGGAGCAAAGGGGAAAGGGAAGTGTCGTAGCATCCGAGCAGCACTAAGGGCCTGCTTTTGGTGAGTGTCATGAATTTAGAGACCAGACAGCAGGGACGAATTTTCTTCTCTGAGCTGCAGTCAGCTACAGGGGGACACACAGAGGCAGTGTGGACCGAGTTAGATTTAACTGGCGATGGGTCATCCAGAAATTCACAGCTACTCGCCTTCACTCTAAGACCGAGCTCCTCCCACCCAGCCTCCCAATCCACCAGCACCTCTTGCTAATCCACTCTCCCCTCCTCCAGCTAGGGCTTCACTCTGCTTTGTTTCCAGTTGGTTTCTTGGGCCAAGAGGAAGCTGCAACTCATTTGCTCAAAAGTGAGCGTTAACTCCTGAAACACTTAGCAGAGCAACCCCTTGGCATTTGAGATTAGCTCCTGCCCCAGGTAGGAGCACCGGGGCTTGGTTGTGGCTTGCCCAGGAGGCTGCCACTAGGGTCCCTTGCTGCTTCACAACTTGAGGACATCAGCTCACATACCAAATGTCCATCAGACACCCACTATGACAAGCGTTCCTCTAGGCCCTGAGAACTCAGCCGCCCCACCCCCCAAAAGACACCAGAGTCTGCAGCCTAGTGGCGGATGCCCTAGGGATGGACTGCACTTGAGAATCCATTGTCCCAGTTAGTTTTTCTCATTGGGTCCACAGGTGGCGGGTGGACCTCAGCCATCCCCCCCCCCACTTCTGGGGATGGGCTGGAGCTCTCCACAGGCTGATGGTTCAACCATCCCATCACAGCTTATGTTGGGCAAGTTGCATTGGTGCTGGGGGTGACTTCTGGGAGGGCCCTAAACAGAAGCTGTGTAATTTTCATTGGGGGGAGGGGCTTAGGGGGTGCCTCTCGGTCATTTAGCAATCTTGATGGGATAGAAGCACAGGCCTTTCCTGGGAGTTCAAGTTGAAACCAGGAAGAAGGCTGAGAAAAGACCCCAGGGGAGGGGGGGAGGGGGAGGAAGGCCTCTAACGTAATGCCTTGTGCCAGCGCCAGCCCACAGCCTCATTGCTCACCTGCCTTGCCTACTTTGCCTGATCATTTGCTCTAGGTGATGGTTATCTGGACATAATTAGCAGAAATCCTTGCTGTCTGGGGGGATTTGTTTGGAACACACAGAACCCAAGTGCAAGGAGTGTGGCTGGATCTCCCCGGCCACACCTCACGTCCATCTCAGGCTACCTGGTCTCTCACCCCAATTCTTTCTCTGAATCTGTTTTGTCCTGTGCTAGCTCCCTCTGCTTCTCTGTGTCCAGCTACCCACACTCCCAAGAGCAAGGCTCTCAGCTGTGGGCACAGACAGACTCAGAGAATCAGATCAAATTTGAATCACAATTCTGCACTCCTTGGGCAGAAAATTTGGTCAGCCATCCTGGGCCAGGTATCTAAACCATCCCATCAGCTGGGCCAAGGGCACCCCCTCATATGCTTCCCAGCTGTTGGGACCCCATCCTCACCCAGGGTGGGGGCCCAGCTCTTCTCAGCTGCATTTGTGCCATTTGTGCCCTACACGAGGGTGTAGCCGGGGACCGAGGGGCTGGAATCCACCTCTCCCTGCCCTTGTGCCAGGCTCCCCATGGGAGCTGGGCCCCTAGCAGAATAAACTCCCATTTCTAAGTCACAGCAGGACAACACATGGGTTCATGAAGGCAGTCCTGATGGGTCAGTAGACCCCCACCTCCAAAAACCTACTTCTCTCAGGTCTCAGCTTCAGCAACAGAGCTTTTAGGGAGCCCCTGATGGTACTCTAAGCTCCCCTGACACCTGGATGCACCCTGACCTACACTTACCAAACTTTACAAAAATGCTCACTTCATTGCAAGTCAGTCCCCCAAAGCACAGGATCCATGAAATCAGGGAGCAAAGATGGCTTGCTCTCCACAGTATCCACACTGCCTAGTATGGGCCTTTTTTTTTTTTTAATGCAGCATCACTCTGAGGAGTCAACATCATTCCGGGGAATGAACAGAGAGGTTGTTCATTCCTGGTGCTGGGACAGTGGTGGAGCACGCTGGAACCAGCACTGCACGGGCACTCGGGGAACCAGCAAGACCCCACTCAATGGGCTTCTCCCCATCGGTCAGCTACCAGGGAGCAGCTCAACTCTGAAGAGCACTGTGAGCTCCAGCTGGTATCTGAGCTTTGCTGAGGGTCTAAGGAGAGGCCGGTGGGATCTTCTTCCAGCTCTGCAGACCCCAGGGAACAGCAGGGGGAGAGAGGGAGCAAAATGGCTTCCATGCACACTGTCCCAGTCTGAGTCTCACCACCCTCGGTGACACTCAGCTCAGGGTTGAGTGGGGAGACTGAGACTCAGGGCAAGTGTCTCAGATCAGAGAGAAGACCAGGATTCAAGCCCTGGTCTGTCTGTTCATCCTCATCTCACGCCTCTCCCAGGACACCACGATGCCTCTGCTGTGGCCTCTCAAAAACTTCCTCCTTCCTCCGGGCCATTAGCAACTTAGCAATCATGCCACAGCCACCCTATAAGTAACGGGGCAGTTCTGAGCACAGGGGATGCCATTGTTACGGCTGGGCCAATGGACAAGAGCGTCTGGAGGACAGAACAATCTGGACTCGGAAATCTGGGGCTTCGGTGCTGGCCTCTCCTTTCCAGCATGGCAGACAGTGGATGAGCGAGAACATGGTGGCAAGTGTGAAAGGCTGACCTCTGGAAGCCTGTCTGTCGGGCTCACCCCCTGTTCCCAGGGCCTAGGACAGTGCTAGCTGCATCAGCACCTGGCTTCCAGCAGTGCCCCCTGTCCCGTACAGGAAAGAATCTATGAAGGATGCTGGGTCCTTGGCAGTGTCTTCAGGGATCGGGCCTCGGCTGCCTTCTACCAAGCCTGAGGAGTACAGAGTGGAGGTCTCTTTCCCCACAGCCGACAGGCAAATACCCAAGCCCTTACACAAAACTATCCCTTCTGGAGTAGAGGTCTTGCTCACCTTTTAAGAAGGGATTCCGGCAAAACCAGGGACATTTGGAGAGAAGGGAGTGCCTTTCCCCTCTGCTAAGGATGCAGACTAGGAGTGTATTCAAGTATGTCCCCAGGATTCCTGCCTGTGGTTAGTGTGATTACAATGGCCTGCTTTCCACTACCTACTGCAGCTAGGACTATATGACCCCTCTGGGTTGGGCTGGAGGAAGAAAACCCAAGGCTGGAGAGTCCCCACTGGTAACACTGATTTCAAACCGTTGGCCACTACATTTGCATACATGTCTTTATTAGGAAAATTATAAGTGCATATACATCTTTCCATTGATATGATTTCAAAGTAGAAATTGTTGTTTCTCAAAAGGAGTTGTTACTTGTTAAAAAAAAAAAAAGCACACTGCATACAGGAAGCTGCCTTCTCCTGGACCATTTTCACATTATGTGGGAGATGCAATTTAAACAATACACGATACAGTATTTATCACATTTAACACTGACCCCATCACTGCTCAGAGACTGAGAGTCCAGCGAGGTTACAGAGTAACAGGTTACCTGTGGGATTTTTCAACCTGGCCATGTCAGTGGTCTCCTTAGGGGGCCGGGAGGTTTCTAGGGAGCATTTCCCAGAGATGGGGCTCCCTTCGGGGAAGATTGTAGAGGGATCAGGACCCCACAATTCACATGCAGCGACACAAGGGTGCACCACCTGGGGAAGGGGATGAACTCCCAGTGAGATCCCACAGTGATAACACCAGGCGGTAGTCAGGAAAGGAAGGTCAGATCAGATCCAATGAAAAGAAGTTCTCTGGGCTTCACACGTGGGGACTGCAACCTTTTGCTAATCAGGCCCTCTGCTCCAAGCTGACCCTCCATTCTCTGGAGGACAGACAGTCAGGCAGAGGGCCCCTTCTGAGCATCCTCGCTGGGGTCTCAGCACCTGGCTGGAGCAGGACAAAGAACAGTGCAAACAACACAAAGCACAGATTCGGATTCCAACACACAGCATGTCTGTGAGCTCAGTCCCCCAGTCTTCCCTGCCCGGGTCCTGATGCAAAGGCTGGCAGTGGAGGACCACTCTGGAGGTTATGGGGAGCCCAAGGGAAGGTCAGGGAGAGGCAGTACTGACCCAGGAGGAAAAGCTGGGTCACCACTAATCAAAGTGATGCATTGACCTTATATTTTGAAAGCAAATGGAGATTCAGAGATCCTTTTCCTTTGCAAATGGACTATTTAAATGCATATTTGCTTTAGCTGGGCAGTCTCCACCTTGGAGCAGATCCCAAAAGGAGAGGAATTGTCACACAAATCATTTCCCCTGCCATTCTCCTCTTACCTATTGCCCCCCATAGGGGAGAAACAGAAATTATTCTCAATCTAACTGTAGTCAAGATTTAGGGCTGCATTAATTTTCTTGGAGTAAGAAATCTAATGGTTCTGGTTCCTGGGTCCCTGGGAAAGATGTTTCCAAATTTTCCATGAGTTTTTAAAATATGTTGGATTACTTGGAAAATGACTCTCCCACTGAAAATTCAATCATTTCATGTATAATTCAGGAGCCCTGCAGGGCTGACAGGTTAATTTCAAAAGAAGGTTTTGAAATCAGTTCTATATCCCTAATAACTCACAAAGACCCCTCCAAACTTCTATTTTTTTTTTAACAAAGCTGGTTTGAGAATGTAAATTTCTGTTTCATTGATGGCTTCTCCATCTACCATGAAGATCTAATTTAAAGGGATGTTTATGGAAATGTCTACACCCTGTTACTGATAAACCAGATGCTTTAATCTAAGAACACCTAAAATTCAAGATTGTTTTACTAGAATATACTTTCTGCATGTTATTTACAGCATCCTGTCCATGGATACATTTCCTTGTTTTGCCCTTCTTTTTTTTTCTATTTAATTTAAAAAAAATGTACTGGAATCTAACCAGAGGAAAAGGAGGAGTGAGGCCAAATGAAAAACAAAACAAGAAAAACCCCCTCAAGAGCCTACTTTTTCAGAAAGTGAATTTTTGAAAAATCGTTTAATGCAACTCTACAAACTGATCACAGTAAAGGGAAACCAGCTTTTCTTTTCTAAGAGGAATGCCCTGCTGGACGTCTTGGAAGGACAAGATGATAGAGCAGTGAAGGTCGAGGGGCCACTGTGCAAGGTAAGATGTGATGGGATGGTCAAATGGTGAAAAAGATGAAGTGAGATTTTAACTGGGAAGGAGTCTTCATGTCCAGATTGACTGTCTTGTGGATTGGGCTTTCAAAACCAAAAATCAGTTGAAAATTCTTTTCTGGTTATTCCCTGAAAACAAAACTCTCTGTGGTTCTGAGATACCAATAATTATAGAAGCCCTGAGGGTCTGTATCCTCGGAGGTCAATACTGCAGCAAACTGAATTCCCTTGGGCTCTGGTGACCCGCCGTGGGTTTGTGATCATGAGGAAACCAAGGTTCCACCCCACAAGGATCAGAAACTTGGTCAAAGGCCCCGAGGGGCATCTCCTCACTCTCAGCCTTGGCACAGGATGTACTGACAGCGCATGCACCGAGACACTGGCTTTGAACAAAAACACAGGATTGGACAACGGACAATATTCCAAACAAGACACAGATGTGCACAGTGTTTTCAGGACCGGGGAACACGAGACATTTTGATTTGCTCCTTGGTGCCCAGTTTAAAGTAAAGCTTTGGTCTTGAGAGAGTCCTTTTCCGGGGTCACGGAGACAGTCTTGGATACACATGATGATGGATGACAGAGACAATGATGGGAAGGACGTGATGGGATGCAGAGGAGAGCTGGGGATGCGGGCTGCACCTCACCCTGCCCTGTGACACTGCTGCCTGCCTTAGCTCAGGGCAACCCTGCGATGCTCAGTAAAGGGGACAACCCTTGCTCTCACCCCGAGGAAGGGCACCCTGGAACCTATTCGTCCACCACCCCTTGCACAGGGCAGCCTTCCCTAGGGTCTGCCCATGCTGACTGGTGCTGACACCTCCTGGTGGCTCTCCACACTGGACATGGTGATGCGGGCAAGGCTCCCTCTGTCTAGGGTTCTGGGGTTCTATCCTGCATCACTCAGAGAGACATACAACTTAGGAACCTCTGGCCAGATGAGAGGCTCCGTGGGAAAGATATTATAACAAAGCAAGTAAAATAGTGGCCTTAGTCTAAGTTCTTATCTGTTGCCAATGACACTGGATAATCAAACTATATGAGGAATAAACACCATATTATTTTTGCTACATAATCAAATGGTGAAAGAAAGGCAAACTGCACAAGACAAGGCCCCTGGCAGTGCAGCTGACCCTGCCTGGGTGCAGGGGGTGGCTGCAGCCCCTTTCCTAACACTGGTTTCAGACCTGGGCTCCTACTGAAAGGTTTCCTCAGGCGTCTGACCCAACCTGCGCCTCTCACATCTTGAACCTCCTGTTAACAAGAACAGAGGGAGACACCATTAAGGCGGGTTCCTGCAGGGGCCGGGCCGCACACCTGAGACAGGGAGCCCCGCTCCAGCCGCGGACCCACTCCTGATGTCCAAACCACTGCAGTGCGTCTCCCTTCTGAGGCCCTGAGCCAGGGGGTGGAGTGAGAGAGGCAGCCTGGCAGAAGCGAGGGATGGATGGAAGGTGGGAAGCGGAGAGGGCAGGTGGGTGCAGCAAGCACAGGGTGGATGGAGGAGGGCACGGAGATGGCAGGGCACAGCGGTCACACGACAGGTTGGGGCACGATGCCTTAGCCCAGCATAGGAATCAGGCCCGGACTCACACGGAGCCCAGCCCTAGGACCGCTCAGCTGGCGTGCCGGGGTGGCCCCAGAGCCGGGCGGGCAGGCAGCGCTGGGACTGCGCACCGCACACTGCTCACCTGGCGGCAGACACATGGGTGCGGCCTAGTTAGTTTCAACCCACAACGTAATGGAACGGAGGTCCGGCTCTTCCGCTCTTCCATGGCGACCCTGTCTTCCACGGGGCTAGGGCTGTGCCTGCCTGTCAGACACAGCAAGGCCCCAGGGCTGATGGAGTCATATAAGGACAGACAGGGGCTTGCCTATGTCTCTGAATGTGGGGCCAACTCTTTGAGTCCCCGCAGCCCAGGCTCCCCCTGGACAGGGCAGGTGGGAGACACTATCTCCCCAGCACCACAGAAAGCCCTCAGGGAAGCAGTAGCTAGACCCGCTGTTGCTACAGGGCAATCAGCTCTCCCAGAACAGACCCATCACCATCTTTGGCACAGAGATGCGCTGTTCCTGCAGCGGGAAGAAGAGGGCACAAGGACACAGGCCCGACCCGCCGCAGCTGCTTCTGTACCAGCAGCGCTACCCAAGCCGAGGTCCCGCAGCCCAGAGCCGCTGGCTTCCGCCGTAGCCCCGGGCAGCCCAGCAACCACCCAGAGGCCTTCAGAGGCACAGAGGGCAGGCTGAGGTAGGCGGGCAGCCCGCACCCCCAGGAGTAGGCCTGCCATCCTCAGGGCTGGTGAGAGGACAGGCTGGGGGAGCCAGCCAGATGAAAGGGACCGCAGTGGGAAGGAAAACGCCTTTGGCCACAGCGCCCTGGGGGGACCCTTCTCCTCTGGGGAAAAGCAATGGCTGTAATTTCCTCTGTTATAATCACAAAGGGGCGCATTAAAGCCCGAGGGAGACACGGCACTCCATGACCCGGGGGACAGGCAAGGACCTTGGGTTTCTTTCTGAAATCCATCTGTTTCATCCTCCACCCCTTTCATCTTTCTGAATCCAGGTACTGAAATTATGACCAGGGGTTGGGGTGCAGGGTAAGGTTGTGCCCACGTGTGAAGGGGTGGGGAGGGGATTAACGTAGCTATTCAAGGTGTCCCTTTTCAATGCACTGCACTACTGAAGTCAGGACCCTGCTCTCCCATGTGATCCCCTTCCTTCCAGTCCAAATTAGAGAGACTTGGCAAGAAATCTCAGACATAAATCTGTGTGTGTATGTATGTTGTGTATGCACTGAGGGCAGACTGAGCTGTGTCCGGGAACCTAATCACACAGGGTCAGGCAGACTCTCCCAGCAGATGAGGGGAGGGGATAGGCTAGGAGTCCCCAGAGCTGCAGGCCCTTCACACAGCTCCTCCGCATCAGGGACCTCGGGGACCCATTTAAAGAATCTACAAAGTGAATTGTCCTGCCAAAAGGCTCCCTGAGAAGCATTTCCACAGCTGCTCGCTGGGAATGCAGAGATGCCACCCACTCTCCCCATGTGGTCTGCAGAAATTCTCCCCCAGGCTCGGAGGTAAAGGTGCCCACACAGCCCCATGCCTGGGGAGGGAGAGGCCGGAGAAGTCCCACCCCACGAGGCAGGATGGTGGAGGGACAGGCAACAGGCACTTGAGGAAAGGACTCAGTTATCACCCACAAAGGGCATGGCCACAGTCGGCCCTGCCCCACAAAGGCAGTGATGGGCAAGTGAGGGGGTCTCAGGTATGTGCCCCTTGCTGGTCGAGGCTCCCGCTGCCGGGCTAGCAGACTGCTGTGCACAGGCCAGGTGGCTACACCCTGGCCCTAGACAGGAACGCAGACTTTAAGTGTGTGGAGCTGTGTGAGCTCTGAGCCATCAGATCACGGGCCTTCAAAGAGAGGGTGGAGGGCAGGGTGGGATGCTGGAGACCCTGGGCCACTCTAGAGAGAGCCCCGGGCCACTCCGGAGTCCCAGGCTGCTCCAGATAGAGTCCTGAGTGCAAGTCTCTGCATCACAGACCCCTGACCCCGGTCTCGACACAACTACTTTCTTCATAACTTAGCAGACCAGGAAGGGCCCTAACAAGCACATAAATACAGGAGCCAGCATGGCCTCAGGGTCGGCAAAGCGCTGCTCCCCTACAGAAGTCTGAGCGCCCACCCGGGAGGCACGGGGGTCTGCCCTGGGGGAAGGTTAGAGCAAGTTTACAAAGCGCCGGGAGAGACAAGAGCACAGTGCACTGCAGTCCATCTCGAGGTGGCAGATAACTAGTTTTTCCTTTTCTGAGCAGCCTTTCTCCTCTTCTGTCGCTTCTTTTTTCCTATCTTTTCTTTTTTCCCCACTTTTTCTTCTCTGCGCCCCCTTAGATAAAATTAGTAGAACCATTAATAAGGTTGAAATAAACAAGCGTCTATCTCAGTCTGTACAATGTGTAAAACAGGCCTGGGTACTGGTTTCACTCCTTCTTTAGTCTCAGGCCTTGGAGGACCACTGTCTGTCAGTACTTCCTTAAAATAAATTAGACATTTTCCTCCCCACTCAAAAAAATGTTAGATGGGTTTCCAGGATGCTGACATTGAACTGGGTATAGCAATTGCCAGTTTGCTAACTTGACTCTGATTCCTGCTACTGCTCGAGGTTTCTAACCGGGACAAGGAATTCATATATAAAAGGCATACCCAGGGCCAGGCTGGACCCATCTTGTCTCACCCCAACCTGCTCTCCTAGGATTTCTTTCCATCTCAATGCAGAGCTGAACTCTCTACTGTATCTCAGAAAATCTCTGCATTTCAAACCAAATAAGGCTCTGGAGGTTGGAGGCCCGAGGTTCAGGTGGCCATCCAGGGGAAGGGAAGGAAGCTAGCCCCATTCCAACTTCTTCTTTCTGGATGCCCACGGACACCCCCGGGGAATGACTGGGATTGTTCTGGAGAGCAAGGGAGAGAGCTGGTTAGCAAGAATTTTATTAGAGCAATTTTATTAGAGCAATTGGCTCTTGACTGTCACATTAAAATGTTTCAAGCCGAATGGTATTTAATGATTTATGGGGTAAGGCCACCTGTTCCTGAGAAAGCTTGATATTAACCATGGGCTGGAATGATGGGAGTTTTACATGGGAAAATGTGAAGGCTGGGTATTATGAGGGTTGAGTCTCTGGAGATTACATGGGGATGTTAGGAGAACTGGAGAGGGGGAAGGGAAAGAGGAATTAGTGAGTCAAATATTATTCTTTAGAAAACTAGCATCTCGGCTTCCACTGGGTTAAATGTGAACTCGGCAGGAGAGATGCAAGGCACCCCACCAGCCTGCTAACTTATCTTCATAAATCCCAGAAATGGGTACAAACTCCATGTCTTAACAACTACTGGATTTCATCTCAGGTAAATAAATTCCCACATACAGTAGGAGGAGTATACCATGAAACAATTAGCGTTTTATTGCTAGTGCATATAATGTCACATTTGATACAATTTTGGTACAAGTGAAAAAATACACTGTGGCTAACATTAGGAAGCTGCAATCACACGGATATATCATATATATTTCTTTACAAACTGCCAGTAGTTTCAGATAATAGAGAAATGTAACCTACTGACGTTTGTATGACTCCACCTCAAATATATGAACTGTTCGACTATAAATATATTCTGAAATACATTTGCTTACTAAAGAAATGTTTAAAAAATTGTGCACGAAAATATATATAAAAAATTGCCTCGCAAAAAGTTACAAATACCACCAGGCCCATCTGTGGATCACATGGGAATTTCATCTTGCCAGCGTTTCTGACAGGAACCTGAAACCATGTTGTGGCTTCAGGAGGAGGGGTGAGTGGCCAGAGGCTCGTTTATTCATCTATTTTTTTCCACTTCTGATTTCAGAAACCTCAGAATTGGTACAGCCTCCATGGCATACACAGGCTTCAGAGGCAATCACAGAAACCAAATTCCTCAGAGCAAGCTCTCCGATTGAAAACTGCACTGGATTCCGCAGATTGTCTTTCATGGGAAGGCGGAGACATGATCTCATACCCCCAGGAGAGGGCCAGCCCATTCTGGAGGAGGCCAGAGAAGGATCTCACAGAGGGCCTGCTGAGGAGGAGGGGCAGGCAAAGGGAGGAGGGGGCTGCCGGGTGGGAACCCCAGCCATCACCCTCCTCCGGCTAGGCGCGTACAGAAATGAGAGGCAGAAGCAGGATGACAGCATGCTCTGGGAGGCAGGGAGAGGCCAGGAATGACCCGGAGAGGGTCTCTGAGCACAGTCCCCAGTGATGGCGGTTCTCCACCCACCCAATCACTGAGCCTGAAAGAGGAGGCGAAGGTGGTGGCCGCTGCCTAGCACTCGTCAGTATCTGGGTTGTCATCCCCGGAGGGGCGCCCCCTGCAGGAGCCGCCCACAGTCTTCCTCTGAGCCTGGGCGTCTGGAGGAAGGATGCTTTTCTGAGCCCCCTGCTGGGCCATCACCAGACTGTGCTCAGACTCCCCAGGGGAGAAAAGGAGGATCTCCAAAGCAAACCAAATATAGATCTTGAAGTAATCATCTATTTAAAGAAGGATAATGAGAATGACGATGATGGTGATTATCATGAGGGAACAGATGGGTGAGAAATGCTTATGGGGATGATACAATTTCTTAGAAAAACCCCAGTTATAAAAGGAGCCAATGTGAAGGGTACGGGACACGGATGAATACACGCTGCAATATTGTACCATATGCTATAAATGCAGTTGTCTATAGGCTGGGCAAACCTCACGTCCGTCCCCAGGTCAATGCACTGCCCTCCCAGGCACACCTGGTCCTCACCATTCAGACCTTCCCCCCCACCTTCATATCTCACACATGGGTTTAGCTTTCCTCAAGTGGCTCTAGTGGAAAGTCCTTTTTGGTTGTTGTGCTTACTTGTTTAAAGCTTTCTCCAGGTATTCCTGAATCCACTTCAGTTTTGGATCAATGCACACTTGTCTATTGGTGCTCTTCAGTCTTGCCCTGCCGAAACAGAAGAGGCGACAGTGTGCAGCTGAACGGAAGGGGGCACGGCTGTGACCTGGGCATGGGCTCATCATCTGACACCAGGGTCAGGACCCTCCAGGAACTGGGTGCCCCACTTGGCAGGCTCAGGTTCGGGGGGAACCTCAGGGGTGCTGGGGAGACCCTGTGAGCAGTGCTGTAAATTTCACCCCAGAGATACTGGAAGTGAAAGAAAGTCTTTAAGGAGTCCGGGGAGAATTTACACAGGGAACATCTGAGTTGGGTTTTGAAGGATAAGTAGGAGCTGGGCAAGTAAAGTAAAAAGAAGGGGGAGGCAAGAGCAAATATCCCGAAGGGGTAACAGGGCCGAGAGGATGTGGAGGAATCTGGGAGACAGGACACTCAAGCTTGTGGCCAGATATAAGGGGGAAAGCAGTGGGACTTTATCTGTAATTTTATTTATGATGGGAACTTGTGGGGACTTCAAACTGGAGGGTGGCAGAAGCAGATTTTTATTTTGATAAATCATCTTGATAGTATGTGGAAGACAGACTTAAGAGTAAGCCCCGGTGGGGAGGGTATAGCTCAGTGGTAAAGCACATGCTTAGCATGTACCAGGTCTGGGGTTCAATTCCCAGTACATCCAATTAAAAGCAAACTTAAAAAGAAAGGAAAAAAAAAAGAGTAAGCCTGGAGGCAGGAGACCTACAAATAGGTACACAACAGCCTCGGGGATGGGGAGAGGGGACGGACAGCGTGAGGAGGAACGCGGAGGGGTAAGGAGGTGGTCTGCCAGAGACCTGACAAGTTCACTGAATATTCAAGGTCTCATTTGTTTTCTGAAAGTTCAGACTGGACCTTCCCGCCTGCTTCTCACCTCTACTCATAGCCTCCCTCCCTGAGAAGTCCTGCGGGAGCACCTGCACTTATCTCTGCATCCTCTCCATAAGCCCTGGGGACCAGGTAATCTCAAGCAGCCTTGAGACACCACTGCCCACTCATTCTGGGTCTATGAGAACACCTGCAGCCAGCACAGTGGCTGGGGACACCCACAGGAGTCTTCACACGATTGCCAGGTAAGCTAGTGAGCTGTGCAGAGCGGTGTGGCTGGAAGCAGGGGAGATGGAGGTCCAATTCTGGCACTGCTGCTTATTAATGTGGTGTTTGCCCAGACAGACCTGAGGGTCTATTTGACTTCTTCAACCTCAAGATATATTCCCAGGCAAGGGAACTGGCAGAGTCTGCCCTGGAAGCAGGCTCATGCTCGCTGAATTCAGTATCTGGTTAAATACCTCTCAAAGGAGAGGTAGTATTTATTATAAGCAAAGAAAATGAAAAAAAATACACATTCAACTTCTAGTGCCCTAAAACATACTGTAAATGATAAATACATTCAAGCAAAGGCTAGGAAAAAAGACAAAGAGAATCAAACCTAAAACCAGTACGTGCTGGGTGGAGAGTTGTCAGTGGGTATAGTTTTTGTTCCAACTGCTGTGTCTCCATCTTGCTTTTAGAGCTGGGACTTTTCAGGAGGTGAGCTCTGCCCAGGAGACCCCGAGCCTCACCTCCTTGGCATCTAGAGTCATGACCACGGTCACTGTGTGCAGTCACAGCACGGGAACACATGGGACACATGGCACTGGAGGGCCAAGCAATGGTTGGCCACGTGTATCTTTCTTCCTGCACCTGGCCCAGCCTCCTATACTCCAGGAGAGAGATCTTTGTGTCTCACGTATGTGTGATTTCGTTTTGTCTATTTCCCACATGAATGAAATCAAAGGTTAGCAGCTGCCATCAGCACCAGCAAAACTGAAAACTCATCTGTTGTGTCTGAGAAAATGCAGTTAAGTGAGCTGGTAATTTTGAGTTTCACCAAATGTTTTAATGATGACTTCAACTGAATTTGGGTCTTGTGAGTTTGTGCTCGGTGATAAAGGATTAAATTAGGGCCTCAAAGCCCTGATATTGGCAGGACAGAACTGTTACTAGCCATGGGCTGGATAATTTATTGTACTTTAGCAGAAAGAAGCTTTAGTGAAGCCCATGTTTCTCATCTGAACGTGCTCCCATCTCTTGCAGTAAAGGGAGGAAGCTTGGAAAGAAGAGACAAGGACCTCTCTGAGTACAGCACCAAGGGTTAGGGCACAAAGGATAAGCGCGGCTTTTGGAACCCCTGCCTGGTGGTGATATCTGCTGCTGTAATTATGCCAGGTGCAAGCCTGGACATTCAGCATGTGCCATTTCTCTAGCTCTAACAAGCTGGTGAGTTAGGTGTTACTCTGCCTGCTCTGCCTGTTAAATGCAGCATCCCTAGGGGATGATGTTCAGACTTACACAATCTGAAGGGCACAGTTCGGAGCGTTGAGGATTTTGAGATGCTTGACGTTGGCTCTGGCGACGTGGCTCTCAAAGAATCGGCAGGGACATCTGTAGCTCAGGCTGACTGGTTTCCCTAGAAGATGTCATGAGAGCAAGGCAGCTTGTTATTATCCTGCCAAGCCTTGGGGATACAAATGTGTCTGGGTCTGCAGCCGAGGGATCAGATGGGGAGCGATGGGCAGGGTCACAGGCATATCCTGGCAAAGACCTGCTCCTTGGGTGGCACAGTGAGCTCTGTGGGCTCAGGCTGGACCTGAGGGGAGCCAGATCCTAGGAGGGCAGGGAAGTTAACATTAGATGCCTCCTACTCAGGATAAAGGATGAAAGATACAGGATATTAATCACAGGAGAAAACGTTTAAACCAAGGTCCTGAGGTTCTTCATTATTCTTTGCAAATAAACTCCTCCAGGGGAATGGGGGGAGCGGTAAGAAGGAAATCCCAGGCTCTCTCCTCCTCGGCACAGGTCTCATCCCAGGAGCCACTGCCACTCCCCTGGGAATGCTGCCCTCCCCCACCTGCAGGCTTCTGTCTTGACATTTACCTTAAGCCCGGGCAGCCACAAAAGAATCCCGGCTGCCTTCCTACTTGGGAGTCCCCAGAGGACAGGCAGGGGCCCACCTTCTCCCCTGCCCTTCCAGGGCTGGAGGCAAATGTGCCTTTCATTGCCAGATCCAGGATGCTACAGCCTCCCGGGTTGTATTACATCTTTGTTTGCCAATTCGCCAATTTCCAAAATGCCATAATTGACACTCATTAGTGTAAATTAGCAATGGGCTCCTGCAGAACCCACAGCTTACCCTGTGAGTCTAGGATTGCAAGCCCGGAGGGGCTGGGATTTGTGTGTGTGCTTGCGCGCCCGCTCATTTTCTGCAGATATTATCCAAGCTCTACTTAATACCCTAAATTATTTGAATTTGTGGATCCTTTCATCAGGGATTAAATGTATGTCTGAGAATATTTAGTCCAGAGATTAAAAAAAAAAGTTTGCCTGTTTACAGAGCTCCCAGAGGGCTCCTTGTGGTTCTGAAATTCTGCACTTTGGGGCAAGAGGGCTGGGAAGTCAGCAGGAAAACTTGTGAGGGAGGGAGTTCATCTTTTTTCTAAAGGCTGCATGCACTTGAGGGGTGGCATGATCTGGGTATGGCAGCCTATTTAGCCACCACATCAGGGGGAAAGGAGACCATCTGGCTCCTTAGGACCGAACTTGGCTCCCTAAAAACCAGGAAGGAGAAAACCTGGCTTCAAGGTGCTCAGTGACTGGAGAGCCTGGAGCAGCGGTCAGGTTTATAACCGGTCTAACACACAGGGTCCCTGCAGGAGAAGTCTGTACTGCCCTGTAACCAGATCACCTGGGAAAGCGACCTGGAGCTAGGGGCTGGGCAGCCTGGGGTAAGGAAAAGCCAGTCTCCCCTCTGAGTGTCCTGCCTCCAGGTTTCCCTAGAATTCTTAGGGGGTCCTTCAGAGACGAGCAAAACACGAGGCAGAACAGGCCCCAATCCCAGAGCAACAACAAGCTAGAAGGCACACAGCATGAAAGATGTTGGAGGCAGCGCTGAGGGGGGTGGGGGCTGCCGCTCTCCTATGTCTCTGAGAGACTGTTCTGACTCCATTAACCAGGCAGTGGAGATCAGGCCAGAAATCAGAGCCTGTTCTGAGCTCAAAATACAAGCTTTCTCTTTTTCTCCTCTCCCCTCTTCACCCCCTGGGATTATCCATTTCCTTCAAAGGCAATTTTTATTCCTGCTCCCAGGACCCACTTGCCTGCCTGTCAAGTGGAGAATTTCAACAGGTTTTTTTAAAGGGACAGGGCCCCAAGTGTTCTTACCAAGAGAACTAGGTGCTGTGTCCACTTGGTGACCTTCCTGCCAGCTTTTTGCCAACAGCAGTAACTTTTCCAACTGTTTTGGATATGACTGTATAGGCAAGAGGCTTGACTGGCCCAGATGTCACCCAGGGTTGGGGTGAACTTGGCTCTGCTCCGGAGCGGTCCTTCCACTCTCATGCAGAGACAGGAGCCCCCTGCGAGCCCCTCCAGCCAGTCCTGGGAATGGGGCCCACCCTGGGTTTAAACCCTGGAAGCCCAGGGCATCCAGAGGCCCACCTGCTTGGCTGAGGTCAGCCAATGGAGGGAGGCAGGAGCCAGAGCCAAAGCCTGAACCAGGGGACACAGCATGGACACACAGGCTCCAGGGAGTAAAAAAGCAAGGGGAGGGTGAGTGTTGGATCCCAGAGGCTGCGGGGCCGACTTGGGTAGCCATCCAGTCTCGGCACTTCCCGAGGTCACACACGGCCAAGCAGGTCCATGCAGCCCAGATCCCAAGCAGCTGGAAAGTGCTTGTTTCTTAGAAGTCCCTGTCCAGGATGCTCTCCTGGTGACACCAGGGATGCAGAGCCCTGCTGCTGCTGCTCTCAGGGGCACAGTGTCCTGTGCTTTGTGGGGGGTGTACTTACTCAGAATAGCCTATGCATGCAAGGAGAACCAGACTAACCGGGAGCCCAGGACCCTGACCTGGCCCTTGGCTGTCAAGAGGGCAACTCAGCAGGGTGAGCAACCAGTCCTTCTCAGAATTGGGCCCCAACTCCTTCTGTGGAGTGGATGGGGCCCCCTATTCCTTCTGTGCTCCGCCTCGGTCACTCAAGGACCCGAGTCCCTGCATTTCAGTCATGTCTACAGGCCTACAGGCCCCCAGAAGAAGGGGTAGCTAGAGAAGGAACCATGTCCTCAGACAGCTGGGCCATGACACCACTCTCGTCAAATCACTCAACTGTTAATACCCAAACGAAGACCCAGGACCGGTTACTTTTTCAGCTTAGGAGAAGAAAATTCTTCATTGCCTTTAGGTGCTAGTCCCTCTGCAGCTCTGACCAGCTGCTCTTTTAAAGAACACTTCCCAGGTGGTCAGCCAAGAGACCCTTCTGCCTGCTCACGTTACTCACCCTTGCTCCCTGATCACCACCAACCATCAGCAACTTAGCAGTTGTCCTCAGCCCCAACCCAGCCTACTGCTCCAGGCTCTCCTGTCCTGCACAGACCTCAGCTGCGCCAAGAACTGTGTCAGCTCTTTGCAGGATTTGTTGGAAAGTTCGCAGCCAAGTACGCTCAGCATGGCCTGGCCAACGTGGTTATGTTTTGTGCGTTCAGAAGCAACAGTTTATTTTGGTTTGCAGCAGTAGTGTCTTGTAACAGGACAGTGAGATTTCTCTTAAGCTTCAGAAGAAATAAAAAAGCTCTCCCCCTCTCGCAGTGAAACGGGACACCACCTTTCCCAGTGGCCTAAGGCCTTGGCGACTTAACTTTGCAGCACCACTCACTCTGAAGTAGAGTGCTTGCTGGGCTGGTGACAAAGGCGCCTGTCTGCAGGTGTGGTTTGGGGGCTGGGTAGGCGCATGCAAGATCCGGATGGCCCCGGGCCTCTCTTGGTGACCCCAGGAAGAGGCAGGGAAGACAGACGCTGGATGCGCGCCCAGGTTAGCAGAGTCGCTACGGACAGCGGAGCTGTGCAGAAGCCGGGCCAGGCGGGTGGCGCAAACCCGACAGCTGCTCGGTACCACGCGCCCGCGGAGCCTCGCTTAGGTGGGTATAGAAAGGCGGCCGGCCTCGCGTAGAAGGGACGCCACGCAGCTGCACCCGATCTTATCGCCACTACGAGCGCGTCGCGATACGAGACAGCCTTTGCAAAGCTCTCCCTCCCACAAGAACAGCCGATGGCTTCTCCAACACGGTGCGCAGCGGGGCCTCCGAGCCCACTTGCCTCTGGAAACCGAGCTGGGAGCGGGAAGGCACTAGCTGGGAGGTGGGCGGTCAAAGGTCCGGGCCCGAGGCTCCGGACTCGGCTCCACACCTCCACACCTCCTCGGCTCCAAACGCGCCCTCGGGGCGCTCGCACCCGGTTATCTTGCCCGACCTCACTGTGCAGCCAGCCCGAGGTCTGGCGGCCGCTTCCCGGATCTGGAACCCGAGTCCGGCTGCGGGGTGCGAAGCCTCGGCGCGGCAGGGACGCTACGCCGGGGGCTTTGAACACTGCGACCGGGAGGGAGCGCACTCCGCGAAGTGGGCGGCCTCCACTTTCCCGGTGCAAAGCGGCGCAGAGTAGGTTC